ACAGTCATAGTAGTGAAAATTTGATTCTGAAGTGGTAAGTCAAAAGAACAAAAAGCGTTCACCGAGAGAAGTTTATTTTATACCTGAAGTTTCATGTGGTTTTCTCGTCAACCCATCTTTAGAGAGTGACAGACATCAAACGGACTTGGGGATGAAATAACCACCGACACCCTAGGTACAGACACAGCCGATAAGGACGTCGAAGGCGAGACGCGAGACACAGAACGGCTCGGTCGGGATTCGTAGACTACGTATGCGTAAGAAAAGAGTAGGATATAGCGAGAAACAGGAGCCAGAGTTATCACCCTCTGAAGATGGGTAGACGAGACAACTACATGAAACGTCAGATGCAAAATAAACCTTTTCCTGTGAACACCGCTTTCGCCTGGCATTAAAGCTATTGCGGATTTAAAAAATGCAAAAAGCTATCTTTCATGGTTTTAATTTAGTCTCTAAAATGCGATATAGAGTTGATATACAATTCCATACAGTCCGCGGGCATTATTGAGCAGTTCTTTTTTCTTATTGGTTGTATTTACTATTTAAATTTTCGCGCGCCAAAAATTAGGTCATTTAAATGATTAGAACTATTATTTTTGACTTTTATACGATCAACTTATTAAATTATTTTTCGTTTCCTCATTTAACATCTATTTTCACCGGTCCCGTACTAAAGAATGCAGAAATTTTCGCTTTCTGTAGTGAGCCCGAAACAGACTGTTACCGAAAGACTCTAATTTAAACTTTGCTAATTAATTAATAACTCATTAATTAAGTAGAACAGCTGTGCTGATGCAGACCTCATGCTGATGGTTATTTTGCTATTTTAAGAACGTCGAGCTGTTGGGAAACATCAGCAGCTACGACCCGAATTCAACAGTGAAAGGACTGCAAGTACTTGTTCCATCTGGTAAGTCGCTTTCTACTTTACTATAGTATATTTCACATCTCATGAAGTGTAAACCAAAATTCTTAAATTTTCGTCAAGTACTCATATAAATCCCTTAAATAAAGTTGTACTATTAACCAATCGAGTAAAATAATTCCCTAATACACAGAAGACATGGTCTGTAAAGTAGGAGGAATTAATTTAAAGACGTTTTTGGCCCACTGACTTCGAGGACCTCATAAGATAAAATCTCTTTCGTAGAATAAATGTATGAAAATACGCGTTCTTGTAATCATTTAGTTACAAATTACCCCCCTTCTTAAAGAATTGTAAAAAAAGAAAAGGGAAACATTCTATTTTGAAAAAAAGTATCAAACTATGAGATTTTCAAGACCTTGAAATGGTTACTCACAATACATTTAATGTGTCAGTTTCCTAATATTGTCTTGCGAGTGAAAACATGATCTAAATGAATTTCAAAACTTGATAAACACTGTGTGACCGCTTTCACATAGCCCGCAAGTTCACCCGTACAGAAGATATACAGCATGCAGTTTGAAAAACCTGAATGAGGACAGGTCGAATTAAAAATTATTCCAAAACTTAGGAATTCCTATAAACCCAAACAGTAGCCTTTTTTCAATTATGAAATGTGAAGCAAATGCAATGTCGTATAAAATGAGTGCAATAAAGGATAATTCAGTGCATGTTTTCTAGCAAATATACCCGATGGGCAAACTCCGACGATGCGTGTTTTCCGCACGTTTGAAATGTTATTTGTTCATTGCACATTGCCTGTTAGTCCGAAGACGAGCTGGGGCACCAGGCTCGAAAATTTACTAATCAAAATTACTTTTTATCCCAAAGAACAACTTCTTCTTCAAACTAAAATTTCTTGGGATGTGTGTTTTTCAATTTATACGAAAGAATATACTTCTCTTCTCAATGGTCGAAAATATGCGAGGCCCAGGTAATTGAACAGAAGGCGGAAAAACGTTCTCTGGAACCAGTATTTTATTTGCCCGACGTTTCGGACTCTCACTCGAGGCCATTGTCAATGAATGGAAAACGTACAACACACTGCGTAATTAAGTCAGCTCTGTCGGGGGTGACCTTGAGCTCCCATTATTCGCTCCGCCGCAGGTGACCTTGAGTCCTTCCATTGCTCGCGCAAAGCGAGATAGGCATCTGGGAAATCGATATGCCTAGTAAAAGAGTCCGCGTGCGAATACCATGCTTCTTGTAGCAAGCGTGAGATTCGGTCGGCCGGCTGGCCTAGTATTCACACGTGTTCGAAGTCGAAGCCGTGTCCTGGCGAGGATGCGTGGGCGGCGACCAAGGATAGTTTGTCCTCCCTTCGGACGGCGAGTTCATGCTCGCGCAGTCTCGTGGCAACCCGTTTGCCGGTTTCGCCAACGTAATTGGCTTGACCGCCACGACAGTCGATTCGGTAAGTAGCACCGGATTTCTGGTTGACGGGTCCTAAGGCTGGATTGTCATTTTCGGTTGGTGAGCGACGCCAATCCTAAATTTGCTGATAGAAGTATGTACATTTTATTCCTTTTAGGGCTCTCGAGGCCATGACAGCAGCCATGAGTCAGCGTACGCGCGCGCACATGTTCGCGTTTGCAGCGCAATTATTTTACCACACGTTTGATTTTTAAGTGGTTCATTGCACATTGCCTGTTTGTCCGAAGATGAGCTGGGGCACCAGGCTCGAAAATTCACCAAGTAAAGTTACGTATTATCCCAAAGAAAAACTTCTTCATATGCTTCAAACATCTTACCTTGCCATCTTATCTTGCATATATTTCTTGCCCCATGAGCGACAGTTTTTCTCCTCAAAACCCCTCGAACGGCATTCTTACCGCTAGAATTTCCGAACAATGCCTAAGGAGTTTTTTCACTGCTCTTTTTATCCAGTTCCATTGACTGTCACCGCCACTCTTTCTCAGTGTTCGACTGAACCAGTGCAGTTCATGGCTGCTCTGTACTATTAGGGAGTTCAAAGCCATTTACCTACATTTCCCTTAATAAACCTGACCTGACCTGAATCTAATGCAATTGCAGGCAAGGCGACTACGTTGGAAGAACTGACAGACAGGTCTAAACGTGGGCAACAGTGGATTATGTTAGGCCCCTAGGTCAGCATTCACCTTCAGGAGCGTATAAAAGGGGAATTTTTATAATAAAGGCTTTAAGGACGGGGCTCCAACATAGACCAGTAGTGAAATGTGCGCAATAAATGGTTCAAAAATGCGTAAACTCTGGGCAACTTTATTCGTCTAGGCCTATATATATAGAGGGTTTGCTATGTCATTAAAAATTAAAGTTCGACATTTTAATGCGTGACTTAACACACATTTGAGGTTGTTTATTTTTTTAAGCGAAGAGACTTGAGACGCGAAATGCTGTTTACTAGAAAGGAGTTCAGTTCAGCTGAAAAAAAAGGGTACCCAAAGTGGCCAAATCCCACATCTTTTGATATCCTAGGAATTTCCTACACTGCGGACCTGCGGACCAAACCTTCTTGGTTATGCGTATTGCTCTATAAAAGAACAATAATATAGACCAGAAACGTTTTAATTAAATCTATTTAAGGGACAGAACATATTTTTGCTTTCATGAAATTGAGATAAGTGCAAGCATTATATAATGCATTATTGTCCAGAGAAGAAGAGCGGATTAAGTGTAAAGAATTCTATTATGCAAACCCGTCCATTTTGTGCCATAAAAGGAAATAATAAAATTTTAAGGCCTTACTTTGTTTTACAACACCGACAATAACGACCGTCAACAAGCATATAGATCAGAGGTCGGAAACGTATGGCTTGTGAGCCAGCTGTGGCTCTTACGATTTGCTATTTTGGTTACTTCAATGAGGCTTATTATTCTCCCATTTAATTCATTTCTATCTTTAAATATATAAAATGGGTCTGAATATTTGCTTTCTTGGCTCTCTGCGTCAAAACGGTTCCCGACCTCTGATATAGATGAACACCCGAGACATGCCGTCACTTTTCTCCCTCAAGCCGTACGCAAAAGATGTCCAAACGTTTTCTATCTACAGAATCGTATTAAAGAATAGGAAAAAATTTAAACGGAACGTGCAGAAGATTCTCAAATAGGCAGCGTAAACTCAAAGCAACTTCATTCGTCAAGGCCTGTAGAAGCCAGCTCGCCATAAATAAAAGGAATTTGAATAACAAAAACCACACATAAGCAACGTTGTGCATGTCGTTTTATGAATGTGGTAGACAGCACACAGATGATTACTTCCCACAGCTATGAAATAATAAACGAAACCAGATCAGCCTACATATTGTAAACTGGGGAAGGATAGTTTTAAAACCATATTCTCACAACATACTTGCTTTGTCCTACTTAGAGATGCGCCCAAAGTAACTTCAGTATTCTTTAATACGTGGCCGTTGGCATTAGTAACATATTTTTTATTTTTTTATTTACTGTTGTGTTAATGATTTTAAGTTAACTTAATTTATTATTTTAATTTATTTTTCAAAAATCGCGCGTTTTTTGTTTTTTTATACTTGCTTTTTATAATAATCTTATTTACTATTCCAAGTGTTTGTTCTATATATTAATTTAATTTGTCCTCCTGCGCCTCTCGCCGCTACTGCTCCATCCGTATAACCATCGGTCCCGGATTCCTGAATTCTGGGGGATTGGTGTCCGTGGTGTCACTTATAATATAATAGAAATGGCCATTCCAGTCTCCCTTTGCTTTGTCGGATCCATTTCATCCTATCCTCATAGTCGCTATGCAACTGCCTACGCGGGTTCTAATTGGGAGCCGGCTCTAAGTGAAGCGGAACCTAATTGTTCCTCTAGTAGAGCGGCGAAGTCATCATATTCATCATATTCCCAATTTCAACCGACAAAGCAACGAGCCCGTGCCGCCGAGGTTGAGTGTTAAACTCAATGGCCAAAGGTCCCCTGTCCGAATCTCGGGGGTTCCAACACTTG